AAACCTTGTACTCAGTAGCAGTTAGTCTCCCTTGTCCCTATCCCCAGCCCCTGACAACTATTAATCTACTTTCTTTCCCTATGGATTTGCCTATTGTGGACATTTCATATAAATGGAATCATACAATATGTGGCTTCCATTGAGCATATAGTGTATTCAAGGTTCCACAGGTGGTAGCATGAATCAGTACTTCATTCCTTTTTATGGCTGAGTAATATTCCACAGGATAGATATACCACATTTTGTTTATTTATTCATTAGCTGATTGGCATTTGGGTTGTTTCTACCTTTTGGTTAATATGAATAATGTTGTTATGAATATTTGTGTACAAATTTTTGTGTGAACGTGTTTTCAGTTCATGTAGGTATACACCTAGGAGTGGAATTGCTGGGTCATATGGCAATTCTATGTTTAACCTCTTGAGGAACTGCCAAACTATTCCCAAAGCACAATTGTACATTCCCACCACTGGGGTACGAGGGTTCCAATTTCTCCACATCTTCACTAACACTTGTTATTGTCCATCTTTTTGCTTTATAGCAAAAATATATACCCATCCTAATGGGTATAAAGTGGTATCTCACTGTGGTTTTGATTTGCATTTCCCTAATGATGAAGTATGTTGATCATCTTCTCATGTTTATTGGCCATTTGTATATCTTCTTTGGAGAAATTTCTATTTAAATCCTTAGTCCACTTTTAAATTGGTTTGTCTTTTTATTGTTGAATTGTAAGAGTTCTTTCTATATCTTGAATACAAGTCCCTTATCAGATATATGATTTTCAGATATTTTCTCCCCTTCTGTAGGTTGTCTTTTTACTTTCTTGATAGTGTTCTTTAAGCACAAAAGTTTTTAATTTTGATAAAGTAAAATTTATCTGTTTTTTCTTTTGGTTGTTTGTGCCTTTTGTGTCATGTCTAAGAAACCATTGCCTAATACAATTGCCATGATTTATAGCTATGTTGTTTGGTTCCTTTTTTTTGTTTGATGAGGAAGATCAGCTTGGAGCTAACATCTGTTGCCAATCTCCCCCGCCCCCCTTTTTCTTTTTCTTAAGATTGGCCCTGAGCTAATATACGTGCCAATCTTCCTCTAGTTTGTATGTGGGTCGCTGCCACAGCATGGCTTGATGAGTGGTGTAGGTCCATGCCTTGGATCTGAATCAGCGAACGCTGGGCCACGGAAGCAGAGTGTGAACTTAACCACTATGCCACCAGGCCAGCCCCTATGGCTAAGTTTTTTCCTAAGAGTTTTACAGTTTTAGCTCTTCCATTTGGATCTTTGATTCATCTTAACATTTTTATGGCGTGAGGTAGGGATCCAAGTTCATTCTTTTCCATGTGGATATCCAGTTTTTCCACCACCATTTATTGAAAAGACCATTATTTCCCCCATTGAATTGTCTTGTCACCTTCGTCAAAAGTTAACTGACCATAAATGTAAGGGTTTATTTCTCTGAATTATATTCCACTGATCTATATATATATCTATGTTTCTTGCAGTACAGCACTGTCCTGATTACTGTAGTTTTAAGTTTTGAAATCAGGAAGTCCAAGTCTTTCCAATATTTATGCTTTTTCTTAATGTTTTATTGCATTAAGACTTTCAAGATAACCCTGAATAGAAGTGGTGAGAGCAGATATTCTTGTCTCAGGTTGTTCCTGACCTTATGGGAAAAAGATGTAATATTTCATCATCATGTTTTTCAAACATGATGTTACCATATTGAAGAAGTTCCCTTCTATTCCTAGTTTGCTGAGTTTTTAACATGAATGGGTTTCAACTGTCAAATGCTTTTTCTGCATTTATTGAGACTATCATTTTTTTTCTCTTCCATTCTCTTAATGTGGTGAATTACACTGACTTTTCCATGTTAAATCTCACTTTCCTTGGCCATGGTATTTTATCCTCTATATTGCAAGGTTTGAATTGCCAATATTTCATTAAGAACTTTTAATCTATATTCATGAGGGATGTTGGTTTGTAATTTTCTCGTAAAATGTCCTTGTCAAGTTTTGGTATCAGGATTATGTTGGCCTCATAAAATGAGTTTGGAAGTGTTTCTTCCTGCTCTATTTTCTGAAATAGCATAGGATTGGCATTTTACATGCTTTCAATGTCTGATAAAATTTACTGGTGAAGCCATCTGGGCCTGGAGTTTTCTTTGTGGGAAGGTTTTTGATTACAAATTCAATTTCTTTAATAGATAGTGGGCTATTTAGATTTTCTTTTCCTTCTTGTGTCAGTTTTTTTATTTTTTCAGGAATTTGTCCATTTCACTTAAGTTGTTGAATTTATTGCATAAAGTTGTTGAAACTATCCTTTTAATATCTGTATAATTCTATTAGCATTTTGGCTACATTAAAATTAAAACTTTTGTACACAAAAATAAAGTAGATGACAAATGTTGAATCAGGGGAGGGGGCTGGTCCCATGGCCTAGTGGTTAAGTTTGGCACCTTCCGCCTAGGCAGCCCAGGTTCATGGGTTCAGATCCCGGGCACGGACCTACACCACTTGTCATCCATGCTGTTGTGGCAATCCACATATAAAACAGAGGAAGACTGGCAGAGATGTTAGCTCAGGGCTAATCTTCCTCAGGCAAAAAAAGAGGAGGACTGGCAACAGATGTTAGCTCAGGGCTAATCTTCCTCAGCAAAAAAAAAAAAAAAAAAAGAATCAGGGGAAAATACATATGGCAGGAAAGGGTGTGTGTGTGTGTGTCTGTGTGTGTGAGTGTACACTCAGTGAAGGCACTTATGTTCTTTCTAGAAGCACCTTTAATTTAAAAAACGGCAGTTAGGAACATCCTTGTGAATCTGTTTTCTTTTTTTTATTTTCCTTAAAGAGAATGACTAGGAAATGAGATTGTCGGGGCAAAGGCTAACGCTTATGTTAAATTTCGGTAAATAAGGTTGTACCAATTTCAACTTCACACCAATAGTGCACAACAGTAATTGTATCCCCATATCTCTATCTGCACTGATAGACAAAAAGAATCTGTTTGGAAGTTGAACATCTCATTTGTTAACTAGACGTTTCTTTTTCTTGTTTGTTTACGAATGTCCTATTGACACCCTTTGCCAATTTTATTTATTGTGGTATTAAGTTTTAAAATTGATATGCTATGAGCCTTTTTGATATTATGAATATTTTTCCATCTTTTTCCATGATACAAATTTATTTTCCACTGGTTCATTAGCTGTATTCTAATTTTGTGTGCAGAAGACTACGATCTTTACGAGGTTGATTTTTACCATTTTTTTCTTTTATGGTTTCTGGTTCTTGTCTCATACTTAGGGCCTTTCTCAGCTCAAGATTATAAAGATACCTCCATTTTCTTGTAGTATTTTTATGGTTTTAGTTTTTACATTTAAACTCTCGATTCATCTGGTATTTATTTGAGAAATGAGATAGATGTAAAGCTGTCCCCTATAGTTAGTCATTTCTCAGATAATCTTGTTCCCACTGACCAATGATTTGTAACATAGAGTTTACTGATTACCACTGAGACTTCTAGAGTCAGACTGCCTCGTTTCAACACTTACCAGTAAAGGCTCTGGCAGGTAATGTTGTAAAATCGAGATAGTAACTGCACCTATCTTACAGAAGGTTCAATAACATCACCTGAAAAAGTGCTCCAGTACTTGACACTAAGTGCTCAGCAAATGTAAGCTACTATTATTATATTAAACACTCATACGTACACAGCAGTTTATTTCTGGATTCTATATTCTGCTCACTGATACATCTCCCACATCTATGTGATCAATCCATTAACACTCCATTACCCAACTCACTGTCCCATCTAAGGGCTCCTCTTTCCTCATTTCAACAAAAAGGTCACATCTGCCTTTCTGGTCATAACTAGAGCCCGAAAATGTTAACCCTGGGGTAAAAATAAGCTGTGCTTCACAATATAGTGAGAATCAAAACCCAGACCAAGGCACTGAACAGACGCTGGGGGAAGGGAGGGTGCCTATTTCTTCTACCACCTTCTCTGAAAGGCTGAAACCCTATCTGATTTCAGCTTTTGGCATACAACTGAGGTTGTCAAAAGCGAGTCCCTTTTCTTCCAACCCTAGTTTACAAGCTGAAGACGAACAGTTCACCACGCGACCCGCAGTGGGCCCTGAACTTGCGGTAGCGACGCGATGAGATGGAGCAGCAGGCGCGGGGGCGCGGAGGGAGTCGCTCCCGGGCCCTGGTCCCGCCCTGGCCGTTTCCTCGTGGCAGCGGAGCCGACTCTCCACTCGCGGGGTGACGCCCCAAGGCCGACGTGGTAGGCAGGAGACTTCGGGACACATGACATCTGCACGGTCGGGCACGAAGGCAGATGGGGGTGGCGGCAGGACCAGCATCGGGCCCCTCAGAGCAGAAAAGTGTGGGAAGAGCCGGCAGAGGGAAGGAGAAGCGCGAAATGGGACACTGCGTTAGCAGGAGGCGAGGGAGATGAGCTTCCCGCTCACCCACGCGCGTCACTCTGGCTCCTCGGAGCAAGGGCCCGGTCCTGGGTTTCCCGTTCCCTTCGGCTCAAGGGACCTCCGCGTCCCCTCAATGTCCTGTCGGAGCGCCACCAGGGCCTCCGCGTTCCCGCGGGCATCGGCCCCCGCTCCCGCCTCGGCTCGCTCGCCTCCTCCCTCTAACGGCCTCCCGCCGCTGCCGGCGTCCGCGGCGCCGGTGACGTCGGCGTAGGGGTGGGACTTCCTGCTTCGCGTGGCCTTAGGTCTCGCGGCTGAGTCCGCTCCGCGGGGCTTGAGGGGCGGCGGGCTGTGGGTGGCTTCGGGGCCGGGGGTCGGCGCCGGCTGGCCCCGCACCCCTGAGAAGGCCAGTGTCCCGAGGAGGAGCGGGGCTCTTCTGCAGCGCGGAGCTCTGTGGGGATACCTCAGCTTGCCCCGGGCTCGGGAGTCCAGGGGCGCGCTCGGCCCCGCTCCTCCTCCAGCTCCTCCTCTTCAGCCCCTGCGGCGAGCGGCGCCGGGACCGCGCCAGGCGTGGCGGGCTGGGCCAGCGCCCCACGTGTGGGACGGGCTTTTTTAGCTCCAATGCCCCCGCGAGGAGAGTTCAGTGGGTGCCGGTGGTTGGAGCCGTGGAGGTGTCCCCCGGTGGCGAGTGCGGCCAGAACACCGGTCACTAAGTTTTCTGTGCGCACCTTGCAAGGACCGTGTGTGAGTCTGGTACGTAACCTCTCTTTATGGGGACGCTGTCTTGTCCATAGTTTGCAGTACTCTTTTTTTTTTTTTTTTTCCTTCGCAACTTGCCCTTTAATTCTTTTTTGTTATTTTTCTTGTAATGTAATGGGAACGGGTGTTAGAAAAGGAGGCTGTTCGGTAGCCAATGAAATGCAGGTGAAACTCTGCGTGGAGCTTTTTGATGCACTCCTGTGTGGTGGTGGTGTAGCTAGTTTAGTAACTGGCTATATGTGTGGTACCTCCAGTTTAATTTGTGATGAAAGAGCTGTGCTACCATTTTCCTTGACCCGGAAGAACTTTAATAGTGATGTTGGCTTTCCTTACAGAGAGAACGTCTAGAATATGTAAATGAATGCCGGGCTTAAATGGACGCTTTGATAAATCCTTAGTGTCCAGCTTTTGACAGTAATAAATGGGCACTTAGCTCTTAAAAGTGCCCACTGCCAAGTATTTTAAAAGCCTTTGGTCACATGAGTTGTAATGATGAAACTATTTGAATAAAATCTCAAAGACGTCTAGGATATCAAGAAACTTGCGCTTAACTTCTTATAGATGATATAGTTCATAATGAGTTCAGGCTAGCGGAGAAAATACTTGAGTAGATCTAAACTGAGTATGTTGTTAATGCTTCTGTTACCAAGCAACATCTCCATAAACAAGCCTAATGTTCAACTAGAATATAATTAAATGTATTTACCCTACAATTATCTGGATTCAGAATTCTCTAAATTCATGGGTTTAGCCTGTAGGTGGGTTACAGTTAATACTCTCCTTTTTTATTGAGTTTTGATTTCAAACTCATTTTGTTTAGAATTATTAGAATGCTTTCAATTTCAGTGTCACACAGGACTTTCCAGAGAGTTGTAAATAGATTTGAGTTACCCTTTGGTTATTTAGGACAGAGTATGTGGGATAGTCCCCTTCCTTTGAGTATTTTCTTTTCTAAACAGGCTATATTCAGGAATTTTTCTCAAATAATAGAGTAATACCAATTTAGGGTTACATAGAGCATTGGAAGATTGAAACACTGAGTTTCCACAGGTGGTTTTTAAGCCTTGGTTTAACCAGTAACCTCACTGTTTCTCCACTCATTGAACCCTTAATGATGTAATTCGCATGGCAAGTAGTTTTCAGGGCACTTTTTCATGATGTTTTGAATGCAGTAACCTTTCGAGTAGGTGAGAAAGTAGATGAGAACATTTTAGATGAGAACTGTGAGACTGAATGACTTCTTTGAAATCAAACTATTAGTAATGGGAATTAGAACTTGAAGTTTAATGTTCTTTACATCATGCCCTTACTGTATTGCAAAAGTCTGTAGATTTCACTTTAGTCCACTCCCCCTTTTTCTTTCCCATATGCTTATGTTGAAGTAATGAAATATTCAAGAGTTGGACAAGACAAGCAGAGAAGAAGAAAAATCAAGAATGACTCATGTTGCATGATAAAATCCTTAGTAATCAAAAGTCAGCATTTTGTCATGGGAATTTCTAATTCAAGAAGCTTAGAAGAATGAAATCTTAACAGATTAGTGAATTGTCAGAATTCTTTGTGTTTTCTAGGTACTGTCTCTGCCTAAAGTAAATGAGTTTTATTTCAACTTTGTCATACATAATATATTAGGTTCAGTAAGTAATTTTCTCAAATTGTCTACTTTATATGTACTTTTAGGGAATATGTGTATGTATCTATGTAAAAAATTTCCAGAAATATTCTTTCTTACTGATTAAAGTTCACATTTTGAACTCTTCAAAATCTCCTCTCACTGCCATTTCAAGTTTATGTTCTTTTTTTAATAAGGTTTTTTTTTAAAATTTTTTAATTTATTTATTTTTCCCCCAAAGCCCCAGTAGATAGTTATATGTCATAGCTGCACATCCGTCCAGTTGCTGTATGTGGGACGCGGCCTCAGCATGGCTGGCGAAGCAGTGCATCGGTGCGCGCCCAGGATCCGAACCAGGGCTGCCAGCAGCGGAGCGTGCGCACTTAACCGCTAAGCCACGGGGCCGGCCCATCAAGTTTATGTTCTTTATAGAAAAGCTCTGCTCTGACCAGACTGGTTTCTTCATTATCCTCTAAACCTACTATGTGCTTTCTCCCTTCCTTACCAGTCTTCATGTCATTCTACCTACCTGACTTGATTTCTTCCCTTCTTTCCTAAAATCTAAATTGTACCTCTATAAGTTCAACTCCACCATGACCTCTGTAGAGGAGGAAAAATTCTTTACCCTTTTAGGGTCTCTAGCGGGACCTAAGAATTAAATTGACATAAAACAGATTAACAGAAGAAAAGCATACAAGTTTTAAAAAATTTTTTACATGTACATGGAGGCTTTCACGGGAGAATGAAGACCTGAAGAAGTGTCCAGAGCAGAAAGCTTTTGTACCATTTAGACAAAGAAACCATAAATTTGTGAAAAATTGACAAGACAAAGGGGTTTGGACTTGGAGTAGTAAATTGTGGAGAAGTGACTAGGGAGATAAGGGTTTCACAAGGTTTGTACAGATTTCTGGGCCTCGATTCCCAGTCTTTGGTGATAAGAATGTCTTCTTTTCTCCTGGTACAAGGACCAGGAGGGCACCTTTCGTATGGGAGTTTTAGCTCCTTTTTTTTTTTTTTTCTGCTGCTTTTTTTTTTTGGTGAGGAGGACTAGCACTGAGCTAACATCTGATGCCAATCCTCCCCTTTTTTCTTGAGGAAGATTGACCCTGAGCTAACATCTGTGCCCATCTTCTTCTACTTTATATGGGACACCGCCACAGCATGGCTTGACAAGTGGTGCGTCGGTGTGCACCCGGGATCCGAACCTGTGAACCCGGGGCCGCTGAAGCGGAGCACGCGCACTTAACCGCTTGCGCCACCGGGCCGCCTTCAGGAAGAAAAAGGGGTCAGAGTGCCCCTCTTGGACTTTGCTGTTTCTGAAGTGCTTTCAACTGAAATTATCAATATACGAAAGAAGCATATTTTGGGGTGGCATGTTCTGAACTCCTTCACCTCTAAAATGCTATACTGTGTATTTGTCAGTCATACTCATTTGATACACTTTATATTGTATTGTTTTATCATTTCTCTGTTTGCCTTATCTTCTTAACTAGATTTTAAGCTCCTTAAGGGCAGGGCACCAGATCTCAGTGAGCTTTATCCTTAGTTTCTTCCAAATAAAAGGTGCTAAATGAATGTTTCTTAGAGATGAGGAATATGCATGTCTGCTTTTTTTTTTTTTTTGCTTCTCCCATAGTGTAGTGGAAGTAAAAGAAAATCTGAGAGAGTAACTGAGGGAGGAAGGGCAACTGTAAGCCATAAGAAAGGGGATTAAAGAGAGGATTCATTGGAATCAGAAGGAAAGGTTCTGTTCCTAGAAAGTGTGAATATTTGAGAATTTCCCATGACAGTATCAGCAATAAGGACTCCCTCAGGAATGCTGGCACTACTCCCAAGGGGGCCTGGGGAGTTTGGTCAAGTTCCTGGTTTTTCCTTAGTAGACTCTTAGTTTTAAAAACAGGTCTCCCATGGTAGACTCTTAGTTTTAAAAACACGTCTCCCATAGTAAACTGTTAGTTTTAAAAACATGTCTCCCATAGTAAACTCTTAGTTTTAAAAACACGTCTCCCATAGTAAACTCTTAGTTTTAAAAACACGTCTCCCACTCTGGTTCCTCCCTCCCTCCTCCTATCCCTTTCTCCCTGTCTTCCCATTTTACCCTTTTCCATTTTACTTTTTACCAGGTCAAGACTTAATTTATGAAATTATGTCATTACTTTCGTATGGCCCTCATAAATTAGCAATTCTGTTAAGTTCTATGTTTTTTCATCAGGACTGCCTGTCTGGGTCATGGAGAGATGACAGACTGTGTAGTCCAGCACTATTTTTTTTTTTTTTAACCAAGATATAAGCCAGGAAGAAATAAATTAAGGAAGTCAGGAAGTGCCCAGTTATTTGCTTTTTGAATATGGTAACTTCAGATTGCTTTTGGATTAAAATTCATGGAGTTAGGAGGAACCTAAACCTAGCCATTCTCTTTTGGAAAGCTCCTGTCACTCTCAAAATGTCTTTAAATAAATTCTAGGTAATTTTTATAAATTTTTTTTACAGCGAAATAAATTTTGCTCTAAATCCTGTGTCTGATGTTCATAACAAAGTTATTTCAGTTAAAGGTATAAAAAAGTGAAGTTGAGTCTCAGAGTACTTTTATAAATCTTGGTTTGATTCAGTTGTTCCTTAGTGAGCTTGCTGTCCTAGCTTCTGAGTTGTTGCCCAGTAACACAATTGCAGTCTAACATAGCAACAATCGAAAATATTAGCATTGGACTATGGGGATTTTCCTGATGAAGTTGCAGTGCCTATCTCTAGTGTTCACATTCAGTCTGTCTTTCTCAGCTGTATCACATTTTGGTTTAAGGCAGACATTTGAGGTATTGTTAAACTTAAAAGGCATACAATATAATTAAGTATATATTTTTTAGAGTACTGGCAAATTATAACTTTTTGCACATTGTTTTTCACCCAGAGATGCATAATAAATATATATTGAATTACAGTATGTGTGAAAAGACTGGTTCAATTAAAGATTATTCTGGGCAGAAAAACTATTAAGTAATAATTAACGTTTGAGTTCTCCACAACTGATATAGCCAGCCAGAGTTGGGGAGGATGAAGTTGAAATGGTTTTTCTCTAAATAACATTTTTATATTACTTCTGGAGGTTCATGGAGAGCTTAGATCAGTAAGCATAAATTAATAGGCACCGTGATTTTGTGGGAAGAGAATTGTGATTCCAGAGACCAAGGCTTGACTGAGTTAGTCATTTAACCTTTCTTGGCCTATTTCCTCATTTGAAAAAATAAATTTCTGAAGGTGTCTTTCAGAAATTGTATGCTTCCAATTTAAAGCAAATTTTATTTCTCCTCTTCGTTGGTTTAGTTAATATTTGAGTGCCTGTTATGTGTCTTGCACTATGGGAGGTACTGAGGAGATTGTGTATAAG